GGTTATCCAATGTTTGTATGGGATTTGTTGGGAGTTGTTGATATACATCTTCATCTTTGAGTAGTTCTTCTGCTTTCTTGGTATATTCTTCTCTGTCCATGACTCCCACCTTAAGAAAAATTGAAGAAAAGTATCTCATGGACGTCTTCCAAAAGAATGGATATCCACGGAATTTCATCAAGAGACATATACCCCCAAGCCAACCTACCAAAGCAAAAGCCACCAAGGAGAACACAAAGAAAATTGCCTTACCATACATAAAAGATATCTCAGAAATCACTACAAGACTCTTCAAACCTTTAGGAGTTGACGTCGTACACAAACCAACAAAGTCGCTTCACTCAATTCTATGTCAACCAAAAGACTCAACAGCAAAAGAAGATAAAACCAACATCATCTACAAAATAAACTGTAACAACTGCGAAAAACACTACATCGGCCAAAGTGGACGTCCCCTTCGTCTTCGTATCCACGAACATAAGCTAGCCGTCAAAAGACATGATATCCACTCCCTCATTTCACTACACACAGACAACTACGGACATCAATTCGACTGGGACAACGTTCAAATATTAGACAAAGGAAATAACAAGAATGCTAGAGAATTTTTAGAAGCTTGGCATAACAGTGGATCATCAATCAATAGACACATCGACATAGACAAAATTTATCAACCAATAAGAAAGAAACTTCACAGACAAAGGGGCAAAATTCAAGTCAAAGAAACAACCGGTTCCAATACAAGTAACCTAGAAGGTGTGAAAACACACACAAACAACCAATCACGTCCAAGGTCACCAGGAGAGATGATTAATAAACTCGTGGAGAAATCTAAAAGCTCACTTCAAATTGAAGTATGCGCTGAAGATGTCACCCAGTAAGGTGATGAAAGCTTCGCAAACTAACCATCCAGCTCAGAGAACGAAACCACATCAAAATCATCCACCTGAGCTACAAATCTTCTCTGTAATATAAAGAAGTCTTTGGTAGATTTTTGTTCACTTTGTAAATGACTCTAAATGATGTGTCATCTGAGATTCTGTGACAGGTATTGATGAGATGTTCAGTTATTGCGCTTCTGATTGAACCAGTGCTTCCTCTTTGCAGCCATGCTGGATGATGTTCTCTAACACGTTTTGATAAGACCCGCATAGAACGACCTGTGTAGCTAGCTCCGCAAGAGCAGGTGAACTGATATATGCACATTCAAGTGGTCATATGGTCTGTACTTCCCGTTGCTCCGAAGTGGCTTGAGAATATCACTCTTAGAGTTAGTGCAGGAAAAGTCTTCTTCAAGTAATTGGAGATTCTCCTTTTAAGGATATCTGCTGCTAGGTCTCTCCTGAATTCCAGATTCAAATAGAGTGTCTTCTTTTGCACTGAAGTGTATTCTTCTCTTTTTGGTCTTGGTTTCATGTTCTTCTCCACGAAACGCGGCGGGTATTCATTTTACTCGCCTTTAGAATTGTTTCTCCAGTTATCAAATATTAATTTTCTATACGTTGTAAGTGTTTTCTAACCCTATGCAATCTTGTCTCTAAGCCCCTTGTAATCGATATTCGTACCTTCAAACTTTCATATCAAGTTGAAAATTATTATCACCTTCGTTACTATGTGGAATTAAACAAATAAAAATCAGATTGGCAAACCAGGAAAGGTGAAGAATCATTGGAATATACGATACATAGTCCTGTGGATCATAATATTAAATATGTTTCCAATGGACTAAAGCTTAGCCTCAAGTAACTGTCTACTGTGAGATTTTGTTATTCTTAGTGTGTTGTACTGTCTGAGTATTTGTATTACTTTGACTTAGTTCGATGTTACAAAGGCCTACCGAGTCTGCGGAAAGGTCCACCACAGGGTAGTAATTTTTGTTGATCGGAGAGTTTCGATAAGTTTCCTATTGGTTGATTATATAAGACCAAAGCATCGCTTACTAGGAGCTGAAAGGCCTTTGGACCCAGTGAATAGCACTGGAAATTTTTTCTTTTAACGACGGCTGTTGAGATCGAGTCTCACTGGGAGACTGAGGAATGCAGACACACCCAGCTGATGAGTCCCCGGAAAGCAGGTCATCACAAGCGCGCACACTGACTCCAACTGCTTTTCAACACCAACTAAGTAACATCAAGGTTTGTTCTATCTCTGTTCAAATTCATAAAAGGGAATTAGTATATAAAGTTTTTAAAGAATCGTCTCCCTGATGAATCATTCAAGTCACTAGATCGTCTGAATACCGTACGTTGGGTGTTTACAACCATGCTGTTTACCTCATTAGTTTTTGAAAAACCTTCGCTGGTGTAGACTCCCCCCATCTGTTTTAAAATCCTTAAGGAGTTACCGCGCATTCTGTTAGGATGGGTGGATTCCTATTGGTTGTTAATACTTTTAATGTATCACTAGATTGCTACATTTTCAAGGTCATTCTAACTATATATATATATAAATATATATATATATATAATATATATATATATATATATATATATATATACCGAGTTTCACCTTGGCACTTTGACTGTTGTTTGAGACAATAAAAGTTCTCTTATCGATGTCCAGTCTTTTCTTTTGTCTTTGCATGCCGGCGGTGTTATTGTTGACGTGAGATTAAGACAGATTAACCAGCGCATTAAGTAAGTATTCGTAAGTATTCATAATCTGTCTACTAGTTCGTGTAGTTCCGGTCACATAACAGTTAGTTCCACCTCTATTCAAGACTCATAAAGGGGGATTTGTGTATGAGGTAACGCCTCCTTCCTTCTTTCTGCTTCTATCAATGATTATTTTTCTAATTATAGCTTGGTTCCACACCGCAATTTTGGTACAAGTATGTAATTTTCAGCATGTGATATCGGTAGCCCAAACTTAGCAGGCCGACTATTGATAACAGGTGTGTATCGGCAAGGGATCGAAACCCCGGACTATGCGCATGGTCGGCGAGACTCCTAACCGCTGTGCCACCGGCACACAATGAATACAACAACAAATGGAGGGTTAGACACAAAGACTGATGATAACAAAAATTAAGCTTTATTGTCATTTATACACACACTCATACACATATGTGTACACACACACAACAACATATTAGGCGGATGATTAAACCGATAGATAAACAACCACAACAACATTTACATGCTATATGAAGAGTATTTAACTGAAGAAAAATATGTAACCCACTATGCAGATTTATACACCGACAAGACAACAGAGTATTTGCAAAAACAAATTCCTTCTATCCTCTGGCGATTACATAAAATCCAGTAAGTTTTGTGCTGCTGTTGTTGTCGTCAATTTTTGTGTGTATGTCTGTGTGTGCGGATCCATGAGTGTTGAAAACTCACCGCCCGTCATTCTGCTGTTACAATAGAAAGGAAATATACAGGAGAAAGATAGAACATCCACGATTATCATCCCTATTATTATTATTATTGTAATGCATCCACACCCAGAAGTCGTCTTGTACATCGATGAGTTGTTTGAAAGGAAGAATGATGACACATATGACATGTCTCTATGAGGAGAAATCCGACGCACACAAACACACGCACGCACGCACAGACACACACACACGTCAAAGTACACAACTACTCTACAAGTTGATGGAAAGCAAGGGGAAATGTCAAAATTGACAGGAAAAAGATACACACGAAGAAAAAATAATGACAATAACTGAAACGGAAATCATTTACAGAATCATGTATATATATATATATATATATATATATATATATATATATATATATATATATATATATATATACGATGCGATGAGTGAGTAGCTTTCGTTTAAAACATAAGTGAATGAAGAATAACAATGACAGTGGAGTGGAGTGGAGTGGGAGGGGGGAGCTGCGTGGAATGTGTGGAATGGAAGCCAAAAAAAGAGAAAAAGAAAAGAAAAAGGAGCCAGCAACTGAAGACATAAATAGTACTGGTGTGGTGTGTACAAAAAATACAATAACAGAACAGTTGTTAGAAAATCAAAAATAATATGCCTGTTTCTTTGTGATATTCACTCTAGAATGATACCTGTATTCATATTGTGAAAAATAAACACATTACAACAAGCAGCCACAGCAGAAGAGTAACGAAAGTTCTCCTTCAGTCGTCCTGCCTTTCTTACAACTCAATACCAGGGCTACAGGCTAGATTTTATTATTTGAAAACGTATATACTACTAACTACTACACTACTGAATAAAAGCGGAACACAATAGTTTTCAGAATTGTTTCTCTGGCAAATTCATGTACAGATAGGGCAAATATACATAAAATATATACGTAACATTCAAATCAACATTTGTACATGTTCTCCACACGCACACAATATACTACTTACAAAATCTAATCAGTAGTACACACCTGGCCACTACTACTACGACCACCACTTCTCAGTTCCCCTGGCTGATTGAGACAGGCGCAATGAGATTCAAAGCGGGGAGGGAATCTGTGGCTGTCACTGCTGTCATCGAAAATCTAGTACTTGAATCGGATAAACCCCACCTCAGGAATCATATTCTCGAGGATGATAGTTGAAGCAGAAATACTGGCGTTTTCTGTTTTTAGTTTTGTGATTTTAGAAAAGCATCTGTTTATGTGGACACTGAGGTAAGTCTGGAATTTACAAAGACATCGCGTTGAATGCAGACAGACGGACAGAATAACAAAGGAATGACTAGGAAGAATATCCACACATAAGGTGTGGTCATTCGGGATTATAGATGTGAAGACACGACAAAAAAAGAAAATATCGTTAAAAAATAAGTATAAATGTGCATATACATATATATAGTACTGAAATGCGACCATTTGAATAGTATAATAGTGTGCGCGCATGCATGTGAATCAGTTGACAGATGTGCAAGCATGACAGAAAGGTGGTTGGAAAGAAGACACTAAAGGGCGGGGTCTGTGTGTATGTGCGTGTGAAGACAGAGAGGTGGCAAACACACACACACACGCACACACACAAAAACAACATACAATTCAATCATTTTAAAATTTCTTTACACTTTTTGCCGCACCATTACCAAGCTTGTTACTATTTGGCGTTGGATATTTAGTATTATTACTACTACTACTATTAATGATGACAGGACTAGGTGTCAATGACTTGTTCGACACTAATGTCGACGTTGATGCCGGAGATAAATTATCAATGTCATCATAGGTTGAGGTATCAGATATACAGGTGAGTTCAGCACGAGCAAATGGAGCTACAGGAATAGTAGTCATCGGGGGAATGGAGAGCACCTAGCCGTAGACATACCACTAGTATGATCACATTGGAGTAGATCAGACATTGAAAAGATTAATGGAGATTTAATTGATTTACACAGTGATGAAGATGATGGTGACAGGATAGATGATCGACACAGGAGTGATGATGACGAGGATAATGAAGAGGATGCAGTACAGGGATTTACAGTTGTCTTATTACTACTATCGCTAATATCACCACCACAACCGCCACATGAACCTTGTTTTAAGTATTTCGAGATATTGTTGATGGCAGGGAAAAGTCTTCGGTGGAACGTTCCATTAATGGAGTCATTTCATTGATATTGTTCACTGAAGATGGTGTTGGATTAGGAATGATAATACGATGAACTGATTGCGGCTTTGATGAAAAGTAGACATTATCCATCGTCCTCCCTTTTTCCAAATCGTCACTAGCTGCAGGATGTTCATTCTTGTGGTGGAGAAAAAAAAGTAATAGAATAAAGCGGAAATTCAAACGAATAAATATTCACAGTTTATACAACATAAAGACAATATTTCATAACTAGAAAAATTATTACTTAGTGTTATTTTCGTAGATGTTAACTAGCAGTAGAATCCGAAATGCTCACTAACTGGATGTACCCGCCCCCCCCCAGTGGGCAAAGTAGTGGCTCTGATGGCTTAGTGGTTAACTCCTTGCTTGGCGTCTGTAACGATAGGTTCAGGGTTTGAGTCCCAATGGAAACATCATCACTAACTGGGGGGGGTATTTGGGCATATCCAATTGACGAGTTTTAAATCAGACCAAACGCGCACCACACGTTACACTGCAAGTCACTATCAGTCAAAAACAAAACACCAAGTTAATCCCGAGACATCTTCAAAGCGTCTGTATTACGAGTCCACATATCGACATAGACAGAACACATTAAGTGCAACATAATCAACCAAAAGGAAATTCAAATTTAAACCTTAAATAAATAATTATTACTCACTATAACTTGTCCGTCTGTGGCACAGTGGTAGAACTACTCGTCAACCACGCAGGTGGTTCGGAGTTCGATGCCCGGACACCTACGGACTCCTTCAAACTTGCTAAGCCAGTAATGAGATGACTGGTGAAGAGGGAAGGTTGACTAGCAATCTTATCCCGTAAAAATAATCACCTCTGCTATTGAAACTTCAAGCTAGAGGCTTGAAGCCCCCTAATGTTCGACTGAGAAGGTCAAGGAATAAACAAATACTCACTATAACTATAGTGGCCAAGTGGCTTGGTACATAACTCATTGAGTTTTGAAGCGATAAGATGCTGGATTCAAGGTTCAGTATGAACACCATCAGATACAAGAAATGTAGGTACATCACGGTTGTCGACTGTCAAATATAGAACAAAACGCGCAAGTGGATCCCACTGTCAACCATATAATATACCACTGGATTATCTTTAAAAAGCCCAACTTATTCTTATGCAGTTATGACTCATCGGTCTAAACCATGTACCCCCCCCGTCCCACCTATCAAGGTATGGCTCATTTCCAATAGCATGGATAAGCAAGTGGATGTTGGGTAAAACGCAGAAACGTAAGTACAGCCATCCATTCATAAGCGATAAGTCCGACCTCTACGATAAGTGTTTACACTTCACTGCTTTCGATATTAGTTGTCACGATGAGTAAACCAGTGGATAGGTAATTAATTGACTTGTCTCTTGATTGTTGTTAAGGAAAGTGACTTATCAGTTTAATCACTTGACATTCAGTCAATAGATGCTAAAAGTTCGATTACCCTAACCCTAACACCTATTTAAACCAGTGGCGACTAGATGATATCACTAACCCCAACATAGTCTGATAACCTTGTTTGTTGATATTCATGGGGCTTATACAGCTATCTCATTAGGACTAAGAAGTTTACGAATCCCCTTCGTATCATACTCACTACCCAGGATTGAAATCAGGGAATTTATTCATAGAATGGTCGTTATTAATTTAGGCATCAGGAAGGAACTCGATCTCGTGGCTCTCGTGGCCCAAGTCGTCTAGTGGATAACGCTTTGGCGTTTGAAACTATGGGCACTGGGTTCGAGCCTCGGTGGGAACATCATCACTCACTGAGAAATGCAGGTACATCCAGATGACGAGTCCCAAATAGGACGAAATGCTAGCCACTATCCACCAATTGTATACAAATCAGGAAGGAGCATTCAATGGAAGAGGAATAAGGAATTAATTACCACAGGAGAGTTCAGTTTCTTATTATTTCTACTATTTATTAATTAGAGAAGATTTTTTAGGCATTTTGATTAATTTTAATGTCTGCTGTTTAGTTCTTGTTTGTGTCTTTTCAGCAGTGTACACATACTCATGAACCACTCATCATGTATGGAACTCAATAACTCTATACGGGTAACAGTGTCAACCCAATGAGCCATCGAGACACCTATATTCTCTTTGCCAGCTTCCAGATCATTAACAACGACAAGATGGATGATGTCCTCAAGTCCCAATCAGAAGTCATCGATAGATGGCATTCATTATATCAAGGTGAAAAGGGTGGTTAAAAAAATGTCAGTAGTTGGCAATTTTGCTTGTTATATCGCGAATTCGTAAAAGTTGACATTTAAAGGGTCACTGAATAATCAGAGAATTGGTTTCCCACATCAAAGACAGATGATTCTATCTTTAGAATGGTAGTGGGTAAGCAATGTTGAAGAGTCTCACACCGGGACGAAGCAAAATTATTAATCACTGTCCTAATGGATATAGAGGTTCATGTGACGAAATCTACATTGATACCAATTAACTAATTGGTACACATCAAATGAATTACAATGAATACTGTTTTAATACTAATGAAAATATTGTCAATTCAAATATCTGACAGGTAGTCGATTTTAGGAAGGTGTGTGTGTGTGTGTATGTATGTATGAGGAGATATGAACAAGTGCTTTCTTCCCAGTATTCATCTACTACAGACAACGGAAAATGTGGATACACTTTAATTCAATTTTAGATTTCCCCCTCGACTGATTGGACCGAAGTACTCAGTCTCAGGTTGACATGTCGGCTTCTTGTGTAGATGCTTCGACGATGTTTGGGCAAGTAAATAGAAGTTAAGTGGTGGATGGTGACTAGCAGCGGAATCCATGATGCGGATTTCGTCCTATTTGGACTAGTCATCTGAATGTACCTGACGAGTCCCAAATAGGACGAAAAGCGCATGTGGATACACTTACCAAGAGGAAACAATACATAATGAAATAAATAACCTTGAGTGAGCCTAATGAGTATATATATATATATATATATATATATATATATATATATATATATATATATATAATCATTTAGACAGGACAAACAGTGGCTCACTACGGACACTTGGAAACTAATAGAAGAGAGAAGGACAGTGAAGCAAAAGATTATCCAGTGCACGGACGAGCAACAAAAACAGGAGCTGAATGCAAGCTACAATACACTGAACAAAAGAGTGAAGAAAAGTGCCAGGGAAGACAAAAGAAAATATTATGAAACCATGGCAAACGAAGCAGAACAAGCTGCAGGCAAAGGAGACCTCGCCACACTCTACCAAACAACTAGGAACCTTTCGGGCAAACGTTCGACACAGATTAAGCCAATAAAGGACGACAATGGAAAGTCAATCACCAAAGAGGTGGAACAGAGAAAGCACTGGGTTGAACACTTCAAAAGACTTCTAAATCGTCCGCCACCTACAACACGTCCAGCAATACCAACAACGGAAGCAGAACTACCAGTGAACACTGACCCCCCGACGAAATCAGAAGTCCTGAATGCAATCAAGATGCTTAAAACTGGGAAAACACCGGGACCAGATGGAATCCCAGCAGAGGCTTTGAAAATAGACCCAGAGACAACAGCGGACTTGATGACACCACTACTGGAGAAGGTGTGGAAAGAGGGCAAAGTACCCGAGGATTGGAAGAACAGTTACTTATTCAAACTTCCAAAGAAAGGAGACTTAAGTCAATGTAAAAACTGGCGGGGAATTATGCTTCTGTCCATTCCAAGCAAGATACTAAGTCGCATCATCCTGGAGAGAATCAAACAAGCCCTAGATGAAAAACTTCGTCCGGAACAGGCTGGATTCAGGAGAAACAAATCATGTATTGATCAAATCGCCACTCTACGGATCATCATTGAACAAAGCTTGGAATGGCAGTCACCTCTCTATCTCAACTTCATCGACTTTGAAAAGGCCTTCGACAGCGTCGATCGAGAGGTCATTTGGAAACTACTTCGCTACTACGGGGTCCCATCGACAATTATACACCTCATCCAACAGTTATACGACAATGCTGCATGCCAAGTAATCCACAACGGGAAACTTACGGAAGCCTTCGAAGTGAGGACGGGAGTGAGGCAAGGCTGTCTACTATCACCAATGATCTTCCTGATTGCAATCGATTGGATAATGCGACAGACAACGTCAACCAACGAGGGAACAGGCATAAAATGGACTGACACAAAAGACTTGGAGGATCTGGATTTCGCCGATGATATATGTCTGATTTCCCATAAACTGGAAGATATGCAAATGAAAAGTAACAAGTTGGCAGAAGAAGCATCAAAGATAGGACTTCACGTGAACATAGATAAAACAGAGATGATGAAGATTCCTTGCCAACATCAACAGCAACAACAGACCACAATAAGCATAAATGGGAAGAACCTGAAAGAAACAACCTCCTTCACCTACCTGGGAAGCATCGTCTCAACTACAGGCGGAACTGACGAGGACATCAAAGCCAGAATCGGAAAAGCAAGACAAGCTTTCATTACTCTCAAATCTGTGTGGAGGTCAACAGCAATCAGCATCAAAAATAAGATCCGGATTTTCAACTCCAATGTGAAGTCAGTGCTACTATACGGATCAGAGACTTGGCGAGTCATAAAGAGCATCTCAAACAAACTTCAAACCTTCATTAACAACTGTCTCCGCTCAATACTCAAGATCAGATGGCCAGAAAAGATCAGCAACAGGGATCTCTGGGAGCGAACCAATCAGGAACCGATTGTGAAACAAATAGGCAGAAAGAAATGGAGATGGATTGGCCATACGCTGAGGAAACCAACAAGTGACATCACTAGACAAGCCCTCGAGTGGAACCCGAAAGGGAGGCGGCGAGTTGGTCGTCCAAGGGTGACTTGGAGGAGGTCATGTGAAGAGGAGATGAAAGCATGTGGGCAGACCTGGAGCAGGGTGAAAAAGTTGTCAAAAAACCGAAGTCAATGGAGGTGCGCAGCTGAAGCCCTATGTTCCTCTAGGAACTAAAGGATACAATAATAATAATATAATAATAATTTAGACTTCCTGTAGCTTTTCAGCTATTTGTGACAATCAATTTAGTCAATACGTTGACCTTGAATAAAACAGTTTAAAACAGTACACAAAAGTGATGTTATTTTAGGCGTAAATTTGAATGTGAAA